AGACACAGACCCTGGCAAAAAGGTGAGTTTTGAGTTAAGATTTGTAGAGATTCAGGATTTGTTGGGAGCCTGGCCAGTACCTGGAGGGGAGACTCCTGGGAAAGCTGAGGCTGCTGCTGGAAGAGGTGTCAGTGGGACCAGCAGGGGGCGCTCACCCTGTGGGCTGTGTGGGTCCCAATGTCCCAGTGTAGTGACGGGGACACTATACTGTAAAAAGGCGCCGTCCTTCGAGAGATGTCCTCTCCCTGCCCAGCTGCCAGCGCACGAAACTTCAAAACTACCGGACTTCTGTCCCGGCACCGAACCGGTCGGGCCGGCGAGGACCCGGGCCTCCCTCCAGCCCCGACCCACTCCTGCAGGAGCACCAGAACCGCTCTGCGCCTCCGCTCAGGGGTCTGCACGGCTCCTGAAGAAGCTCTTGCCCACAGCCAGCCTCCTGCCTCACCGTGAGCCTCAGATCCTCTGCTGCTCCCTGGTGTACCTTTACCATGATCTTACAGCGATTTTTCAGGAGAGGGGCCATTCGCCCCATCCAGCCTGTTGGCAACGAGAAGCTAGCTGATCCCAGGATCTTTCCCAGCTGCGTCTTGAAAGAAGCCAGGCTATCGGCTTCAATCACATGGCTCGGCAGCTCGTTCCACACTCCCACCACCCTCTGCGTAAAGACATGCCCCCTGTTCTGGGTTTACTTTCCACCTCGGCCCTCTTCGTTCACCGCCTGGCTGTCTAAAGCGCTCACAGTCCTGTCGATAGGCAAGCGTGACAGTCCCATGCTGCTCAGCCAGTCTCACCCCTCCTCAAGAGTGGCCACAAGTGCTTCAGAGATCAGAGTGAGACAGTGGCCGTCCACTCTCAGAGTCCCACTCTGTCTTGTCCTGCCTGCACCACCCACTCTAGCAGGACACGTCACACAGACACACACAGACACACACAGACACACACAGACACACACAGACACACACAGACACACAGACACACAGACACACACAGACACACAGACACACAGACACACAGACACACAGACACACAGACACACAGACACACACAGACACACAGACACACAGACACACAGACACACAGACACACAGACACACAGACACACAGACACACAGACACACACACAGACCCCTGCGCAGGCCAGGCTGGGAGTGTGCAGGACGTGAGGGACGCTGTTCCTGGAATGTACCGATCTCCCCCCCTCCTCCTCCTCACGCCTGCCCCCCGAGGACCTGTTCCCATGGCAATGAGCTACAACACTGCGCAGGACAGCAGTGGCAGCAGGGGCCCCGCGCTGCTCTCTGCTCTGTCTCCACTGGAGTTGACAATACTCTGCTCCTGCTGCCACCACCCTGAGCCACAGGGGTGCCCATCCAGGCCCTGCCCCACACCCAGGCAGCCTGCCAGTGCCTGGTCTCCCGGACACATCCCGGCACAGCCCGCCGGACCGCACTGACCTTCCCAGAACAACACTGCCGGTTCTCCTCCAACGGCCGCAGGGCCGGAGTCCGGGGAGGGAGAACCCCAGGCAGCGGATTCTCAACTTCAAACGCATCCACAATGTCAGCTGAAGCACGAGAGACCGTTTATGGCCTCAGTAATTGCCAGATGGCATTCCCAGCATTGTTCTGGGGCTCTAGGCGTTATCTCAGATGTGCAGTACCCCCCCATGAAAGGCATGTCCGCGTCACCTGCGTCCCTGAACCGAGCAGCTCCTTCTGACAGATGGGGAAGAGGAATGGAGAGGAGTTTGTAGGTTCAGCCCAGAAAAGACCCTGGGAGACTCCTGGCAGGACAGGAGCAGGACAGGAGCAGGACAGGAGCAGGACAGGAGCAGGACAGGAGCAGGACAGGAGCAGGACAGGAGCAGGACAGGAGCAGGACAGGAGCAGACTGACCTCTCACAGGCACATGGGGATCAAGCACGCAGCTCCCCGCTCTCCACCGTTGGGAAACGGCAGGCAGCCAGCCCCCTCATCGCAGGGACCGGCCTGCGGGCTGTCCCGGGGCTCAGCGCTGCCCAGCGCCAGTCCCGGAGGAGCACGGTGTCCCCAGGGCGGCATTCAAGCTCAGCTCTGGATCGCCCACGCTGACTGGACGAGTCGGTCGGGCCGCTCGCTTCAAATCGTTTGCTCAGTCAGTCCTGAGTGCCATACAGACCCAGCGCCAAGCACACCGAACCCCACTGCGGCTCCCCTACGCAAGCCGGCCAGCAGGGGGCGCTCACCTGGCAGTCTATGCGAGTCCTAATGCCCCAGTATAGTGACGGGGACACTGTACTGTAAACAGGCGCTGTCCTTTGGATGAGACGTAAAACCGAGGTCCTGACTCTCTGTGGTCATTAAAAATCCCAGGGCGTCTCTCGAAAAGAGTAGGGGTGTAACCCCAGTGTCCCGGGCAAATTTCCCCCCGGCCTTTACCAGTCATGGCCTCCTGATAACCCCCCTCCCTGAACTGGCTTCATCCCTCTGCTCTCCTCCCCACTGAGAGCTGGTGTGTGGGGAGCGGTCTGGTGCACTATGGCTGCCGTCGCATCATGCAGGTGGGGCTGCACACTGGTGGTGGTGGTGGGGAGTCCCCATTACCTGTAAAGCATTTTAAGTGGAGTGTCCAGAAAAGCGCTATATACGTGTAAGCAATTATTATTACTATAGCAGTCCAGATCCGGAGCTGAACCCAGGGCCCCAGCTCTGTGTCTTGTGTCCCCTGCCAGACCAGGGCCTTTTCATCAGGCTGCAGAGCAGGTGCACAAACACCGCCAGCGGATCACAACTACAGATCAGTCCTCTGAAGAGAGCAAGAGGAGAGCCAGCCGATCTTCAGGGGCCACTGGCCGAGGCGAAAGACAAGGGCGCAGGGGGGCGATCCACATCACGTCTAGGGTGACCCAGGGCGGACAGAACACGGGAGACACTACTTTACACAGAGAGGGGTGGGGGTCTAGAACAAACTCCATCGCTACAGTAGTGGCACAGTTGTTTCGTTTCACCCCCCCCCCATAGAGACTGAAATTCTCAGGTCTTTCATCTACCAGCAACCAAAACCCACGAGACGAGCCCAGTCACCCCACGTGTGCCCCGGTCACTCCAGAACCGCCTGTTCCGTCTCTCCCGAGCCAGAAGAAAAGGCCACTTCTTATCTGCTCGGAGAGCTTGTGCCGCATACCGGCCGGAGACACGTGCATAGCTTCCCGGCCGCCTCTATTTTTAAACACCAGCACTCGGGGCGCCCTGCCCGGCCGGGCTCATGAGGAGGGGAGGAGGGGAGGGGAGTGTTGTTACGAGTGCGATACCGTTAGGACAGAGACAACGGCAAAACAGCCAAGAGGGAAGGAAAGCTCTCCCTCTCCCTTTCCCGTTGTCGTCCTGGCTCTGGTCTGTACGAGATCGTGACTCCACACACGACGCGAAAACACGACTGAAGTCTTCCTTAGGCGCATATATAGAAAACCCAACAGGAAACCGGGTCCTGAGCAGCAGTGAAACCAAAACTGCTTCCTCTCGGTTTCCACTGTGTAGATCTCTTCCCACACAGGCCTGACTCAAAGCTCAGCCCGTCGTCCCTGTACAGCCTTAAACCCCCATGCTGAAATTCTGAAGGCCAGGACCTGGGACAGGACCCGCGCTGATTGGTTGGCTCGAGCAAGCTAGCTGAAGCTGGTTGGTCGGTCGCCCGCCTATCATGGTGATCGCGGTGGCAACGGCTTATTATTGTCCCGCCCCCGGACACGCCCCCGGAACCACGGCGTGTTTGACGGACAGGTCGGCCTGAGTGACGAATCTGGGCCAAAGGGGAAAGTGCTGGCCTGGGCCGGGTACAGCACCGCTTTGCCGAACCGAACCCGGGACCTGGGGCGTTCTGCCTGGCCTGCACGCACGTATACCGACAGATTTCACCTCCGCGTACTCTTATGGGGGGAGGGTCTTCAGGGAACAGGCTTAATTCTGTGCGGCGGATCTCCCCGAAAATCGCCTTCAAGACTTTGTCGTCTGGGGTTGTACCACGAACGCCAACGCTGTCTGCTAATGTACCAGTAATGAGCACGACGCTAAAGCAGCGATGATGACTATCGCTGCAACAGAGGACGTGCAGAGCTGAGCCTGGTGTTTGTCTTATAGACACAGATCCTCACAGAGCGGTTAAGGAAATCGCAGTTTCCCCAGTGCAAACTACAGCTGCGGTGTTCCACATCCAGACGTGGTTTTTCGTAATAACCTCCCTCTCCAGGCTGAAACGTTACTTCGAAAGCTGCCCGTGCGCACACCCCTCACAGGGCAGGCTTCCGGGAGCTCGTCAGTGCAGACAGCTGCCCAGCGGACACCCGACATCGGCGCACTACCGACCCGCACAGCCCCCGGCGAAGAGCAGGTCCGAATCCCAGCAGAATAAGCAACTGGTTATTTACAACACCACGTCCCCTGACTTTTCAATCGATACCCTCCAGAGATACGGATTTTATTTGTGCAAAAAGAAGAGAAACATGCAAGAGCACACCCACCAGCAAACTGCTCCACTCCGCGCAGTCTCCCAGAGCCGAGCCGAGCCGAGACTCCGGGGCCTCGGGGAACCGGGACAGAAACGATCCCGGTGCCAGCGCGAGACGGGCGTTCCGCTCGAACCCCGGGGTCCGGAGCCTCGCGGGCTCCCACACACACACACCGGAGCTGCCTACGTGACGGCGGCTTGTTTACTTCCTCCGCCGCGCACAAGCCCCCGTCCCGCAGCTGCAGCAGGGCGGCACAAAACACACCTTTCGCCAGCAGGGGAAGCACGACCCGGGCTCGCCCTTACCCGTCCTGTCCAGGGTCTGGACCCGTGCGCAGCGGCCGGAGCCCCTCATGTCTCCCCGCGGATCCGACGCGGCTGCTCGCTGGCTCGCTCGCCCGCCCGCCCGAGCGCCGCCGACACACGCTGAGCGCTACGGCGCGAGGCGAGGCTCTCGGCTCTGGTCGGCACACGGCGCGAGCTGCGCAGCTCCCGGCGCAGGACTGCAGCTCGCGCACCTCGCTCACCTCCTCGCGCGGCGCTCCGTGCCCCGGGGTGGGCGTGCGTCGGCCCCTCCAGCGGCCGGATGACAAGGCAGCCGCTTCTCCAATCACTGCGCTCCTCCGGCGTGTTTACAGTCTTCCTTTTCACGGCTCTGACGCCTTGAACCACAGAGCCCGTCTGCGTGGAGTGCTGTGTCCCACCGGGACTTGAACCCGCAACTTTTCCAGCTGTTTCCAAACTCCCCCCCTTGTCCCGTCCCGTCCCGTCCCAGCCCGCAGCGCTAGGGAAGCCCGCACTGGTCGCGCTCGCTCGCCTATTTATAAGGCAGCAGGAATCGGTGCGGGCAGCGGGTCCGGGCTAATCAGCTGGGTGTCGCAATGTCCCGGCCTTTACTCCCGCCGGACAAACAGCACCAGGCTGGGGGGTCATTGCTAAATGTACCAGCTGTTTGTGAACTTAACAGAACAGACAACAGCCCCGCCTCCACACACACACACACACACGTCCTGCTGTTGCAGGGTGCAGACGTACACATGTGATTACAAGCAAATCCAGGAGGGTTCTGGCCCGGATCAGGACCGGCTGGGCTGCTTAAGGCTGAAGGGAAAAACACCTCCAGCTCATCCTTAATTGGATCAGTCTGCCCCCCCCCCAGGGCCAAGAGCTGTTTGACTCTTAAGGAGATAAAACCGTCTGGACTGTGGGCGCAGAGGAGCAGGCCGGCAGCAGTGGCACACCCCCCCCCCAATACCAATTCCCCAGCGCCCCAACACCCCTGCACCCATCTCCCCAGAACCAACCCCCCCCAGTGCCCCAACACCCATCTCCGCAGAACCAACCCCCCAGCGCCCCAACACCCATCTCCCCAGAACCAACCCCTCAGCGCCCCAACACCCATCTCCCCAGAACCAACCCCTCAGCGCCCCAACACCCATCTCCCCAGAACCAACCCCTCAGCGCCCCAACACCCATCTCCCCAGAACCAACCCCTCAGCGCCCCAACACCCATCTCCCCAGAACCAATCTCCCAGGAACCTACCCCCCCCCAGCACCCCCGCAACATCAGCACCCCAACCCCCTGCTCCCTAGTGCCCCACAACCCCCAGGCTGTGCTGGACGAGGCGCTGTCCTTCAGATGAGACATTAAACTGAGATCTCCCAGGGGTCTCAGTCTCCCAGGGGTCATTAAAGATCCCGGGGCTGCTAGTCGGGGCAACAGTAGGGGCTCCCAGTGACCCCAGGGTCCACTCTGACCTCCTAACGTACCCCCTTAATCCACCTGGTGCAGCACTTTCTCTCTGTCCCCCTGACCTGCTGTGTACAGGTCCTCTCCTGTCCATAAAGCGCAGTGTGATCCTCAGGGAGTGAAAGGCACTATATAAACAGCAGAATTTCTTGTGCACACCACCTGCTGAGCTGGGCTCCCCTCTCGAGCCACAGGAGGTGCCCTGCAAGATGTCTGCTGCCCGAAGGCAGCGTGAACCCGCCAGGCGACCCGGGCACAACCGGACAGCCCCGCGCACTGGCCGCGCTTCACACCAGCCAGCCACGGCCCTCTTCCCAAGCTCAGCCCGATCTCTGTCCCACTCGTGTGTTTCGGAGGTGAACATGTTGTCGGTCAGAAGCCGCCGCAGGAAACGCCGGCCCTGTCCCCGCCCCCAGAGCAGCGCACTCCTCCGAAAGGGCCGAGCGCCCAGCTCGCGGACGGGCCCCACCCCCGCCCTGCCTCCGCGCTCTCTGCCCCAGGGCAGCACAAACACACCCCAGCGCCCCCTCAGAGACACCCCAGCCCCGGGCTCAGAGCCGCCCCAAGTCCAGCGCGCGCATGTGGACCGGTCAGCTCCGAGCGTTACAGAACCGCCAGGCTGCACCCTGCAGAAACCGGTCACGCTGGGGCTTATCCAGGACATCGCCCCGGGCCTCCCCTCCACCTCCTTCCCCTGCCGATAGCGCTGACGACAGCAGCCAGGTGCTCTGTTAATCAGCAGCCAGTTTCCCCAGCAGGCTGGACAGCCCCCACAGCCGGAGATCAGAGCGGAGCGGCGACCTCGCCGCACACAGAGCCGGGCCGGTGCTCGTACCGCACGCGCCGCGCGGAACAGGAGGCCCCCAGGCATCCGAGAGGGCAGCTAAAGTCGGGGCCTGACTGCTATCGGCTGCACTAGAAATAGGGCAATAAAAAACACGAGCCCATGTGACTGGTCATTACACCACGACGGCATGCTGACCAGGGCTCGAACCCGTGACCTTCCTGCAGCAAGAGGTCACCAGCTGCTGTGGGTTCTGATTCAGGGGGGCGTGTGGACCGACAGCTGAGACGCGAGTCATGCAAGAGGCTCCTTTCTAACCACAGAGACCCATCCCCAGTGGACGTCACAGGCCACAAGTGGGAAAGTAAAGGGAAGAGAATTCAGAACTAATGGGCAGGAGACACTTCTTTACACAAAGGGAGGTGGGGGTGTGGAACAAGCCCTGTTAAAGCAGATATCCCAGCTTCTTTCAAGAAAGAGTTGGGATGGGATTCTTGGATCAATTAGCGATTATCAACCAATCAAACCAGACATCCTTCTTTAACTGTCCTTATTTTTCACTGGATCAGTTGGACTGATAAGGGCTGAGCTCCAGGGGAAACAGCTTTGCTGTAATACAGTAAAGGGCAGGGCAGTGGCTCTGTGGGCGAGGATCAGTGGGTGGAAGGTTGCCGGTTCGTATCCCGCGGCCGGCAGAGAAATCCTACTCTGTTGGTCCCCTGAGCAAGGCCCTAAATCCCAACTGCTCCAGGGGCGCCGTATAAATGGCTGACCCTGCGCTCTGACCCCAAGCTTCTCTGTCTGCATGTCTCATGGAGAGCAAGCTGTGGTATGTGAAGAAATTGTATAGGGCCAATAAAGTGATCTTATCAAATCCGCAGATCAGCTTCGCCCACCCAGAGAACAGAGCCTGAAGGATTTCAGCTTAAGCTCCTCAAGTAAGGGATTTAAGATGAAGTGACACTCCGATCCACAGTGGGCTTGCGGCGAGCTGGGAGGCCCAGACAAAGGTTCAGCAGGGCTCGGCGAAGGCGAGAGAGAGTCTATCTACGCAGCTCGTTCAGGAGTCTGACCCCCCAAACTACCCCCACCAGTCCAGCACACGCTGAAACAATGACAACGCTGAACATCGAGAAAAAGACAATACATCTTTATTTCTTTCAATATAATCCTTTAAACTTTGAAGTGAAAATAGAGCTGCATTT